ATTATTAATAATAATAAATATATTACATTAAATTATTTCGAATAATAAAATTTATTATTATTCTTACATACATGATTGAAGACGAAAATCAGCATTTTCTATTATTTTATATAATTCATTTTTCTCACTAGACGTCGCCATGTTGTATCACTTTCCGCTCAAGTAGCGTAAATGAAAACCGCTACAAAATATGGCGTCCGCTCCCTCAACTTGTTGAGATGTAACAACTGAGCGGAGCGTCATTCAGTAGAAAATCTAGTAATGTTGCCCAACTGTTGAGTCTACTGATTGCAGCCAATAACTCTTAGCTATCTCTTAACTTTCAGTTACGTAGCAGTTACTTTTAGCTGGGCATTGATAAATCGGCCCTAGGTATGTTATTTGAAATAATAACTATAAATGTGTGATATGGATGAATAACATTTATTTTGTCTTATGTACTATATATCGCCATAGTTTTACTATCATAATATTTCTTTGATTCTTTTGCTTTTTTACATGCAATCTTGCATCTATATACAGCATATCTATTAAAAATTTTGTTCTTAAAATTGACAATCGGGTATAAAACATTGCATTATACATATTTAGTAAATAATTTTTGCAATAGTGTTGTAATATTCTTGATTACGTGAAATGTTATTTGTCTTTGGGATTGTCGAAATATATGCTCCATTTGTAGGAACATGTTAAATATTGCTCTATTAACACGGAATAAGGAATTCTTATAACATCGAATCTGTACGAATTTCGAATAATCCAATGTTTCTCCCTTAATATTGCACATCGAACAAATGCATATTTTATATAATAGTGTTTTTGGATAAGCTATGGATTATATATCCAGCTATATTATATAAAATATTTATTTCCATATTGTTAAAAATAGGAAGTTCTATAGTAATATTTAATGTATTAATACTATTATCTCTCACTATCGATAAGTGTTTTTTTTTTCTTTTTGGAAGTATGTACATCTAAAAAGCCTGTTAAATAACTTCCGTCATCCTTTTCATAATTGCTTTCTATTACATGTCGAACATATAAAGAAACAACAATAAGTTTTAAATTATTTCTAAATTGAAGCGCATTCGGTACAGGATTTTTGGTTCTTACAACTGAAAATAGATTTTCCACATAGTCCTGTGTAAACCGAGCAGTAAAAACAAATTTAAATGCTCTCTCTTTTAACAGATACTCAGTCAGTTCTAAAATAGACGTAGTAATTAGTATTCATCTTTGCACGGGCTTAAAGTGCCCTTTTGTACTAACCGTTCAGTTACAAAACAAATCAATACATTCTCCATCAAAACCATCTCCTGTAAAGTAATAACGATTTATTTCCATCTGGAAGCCAAGCCAGCTAACAAATACTAAGCCATGCGTTGCCACACCTGCATGATTAGGCAAGGTAACGTGTCCTATAAAAGAATGTGTTGATGTATCATACAGTTTTCCTGATGTTATGCTCATTTCGTCCATAACAAGAGAACATTCTTTATCTTTCGTTTTCAAATTGCGATACTTCTTAGAAATTCAAAAATTTTATCACATTCCATTTGAAAATTTTAGTTCTTGCAATCTGCTTTGTAATGTTCGAATATTTGGTAATGGTATATTTTGTTTTCGTAATTCTTCGTACCCACGCTCACCACAAGCAAATTTAAGTCGCAATGCCTTTATAATTGTCTCGTTAGCTCATTGTTGTGGTCTCATAGACTTTGTTAACAAAGCACGCATTTGATCATTTGTTAACATTCGTTTTAATTTAATCTTATATATATATATATATATATATATATATATATAT